CAACAGCAAAAACAACATCATCAATAACAACAACAATAACAACAGCAACAATAACAACAACAGCAGCAATAACAACAGCAACAACAACAACAATAACAACAGCAATAAAAACAGCAACAATAGCAACAACAATAACAACAATAGCAGAAACAATAACAATAGCAACAATAACAACAGCAATAATAGCAACAATAACAACAGCAACAATAGCAACAATAACAATAGCAACAACAACAATAACAACAGCAACAACAATAACAACAACAATAACAACAATAACTCGAGTAGGTGACCCACCGTGACTAAAGTATACTCCAGCAGCAACGCATGGCGAGGGGGGGTATCCTGGATGTGGTGTGCCGGGTACGCAAATAATAATTAATGATAAAGCTTCCCAGCTGATATGAATTGAACAGGCGCAGACAACAAACTAACATTGTTGTAATGCTGGGTTCGAGCCCTGGGTCTGGGTGTCTCTCTCTCTTAGAAGGTTCATAATGGCCGTGTTAGAGACAACGAACTAACATTGTTGAAAGGCTGGGTTCGAGCCCTGGGTCTGGGTGTCTCTCGCTTAGAAGGTTCATAATAGCCGTGTTAGACACAACAAATTAACATTGTTGTAATGCTGGGTTCGAGCCCTGGGTCTGGGTGTGTCTCTCTCTCTCTCTTAGAAGGTTCATAATGGCCGTGTTAGAGACAACGAACTAACATTGTTGAAATGCTGGGTTCGAGCCCTGGGTCTGGGTGTCTCTCTCTCTCTTAGAAGGTTCATAATAGCCGTGTTAGACACAACAAAGTGACATTGTTGAAATGCTGGGTTCGAGCCCTGGGTCTGGGTGTCTCTCTCTCTCTCTCTTAGAAGGTTCATAATGGCCGTGTTAGAGACAACGAACTAACATTGTTGTAATGCTGGGTTCGAGCCCTGGGTCTGGGTGTCTCTCTCTCTCTTAGAAGGTTCATAATGGCCGTGTTAGACACAACAAACTAACATTGTTGTAATGCTGGGTTCGAGCCCTGGGTCTGGGTGTCTCTCGCTTAGAAGGTTCATAATAGCCGTGTTAGACACAACAAATTAACATTGTTGTAATGCTGGGTTCGAGCCCTGGGTCTGGGTGTGTCTCTCTCTCTCTCTTAGAAGGTTCATAATGGCCGTGTTAGAGACAACGAACTAACATTGTTGAAATGCTGGGTTCGAGCCCTGGGTCTGGGTGTCTCTCTCTCTCTCTTAGAAGGTTCATAATAGCCGTGTTAGACACAACAAAGTGACATTGTTGAAAAGCTGGGTTCGAGCCCTGGGTCTGGGTGTCTCTCTCTCTCTCTCTTAGAAGGTTCATAATGGCCGTGTTAGAGACAACGAACTAACATTGTTGTAATGCTGGGTTCGAGCCCTGGGTCTGGGTCTCTCTCTCTCTCTTAGAAGGTTCATAATGGCCGTGTTAGACACAACAAACTAACATTGTTGTAATGCTGGGTTCGAGCCCTGGGTCTGGGTGTCTCTCTCTCTCTCTCTTAGAAGGTTCATAATGGCCGTGTTAGAGACACCGATTGAGCACTTTAGATCATAGGTCGGACATGCACGAGTTTTAAGAGGTCACATCGGACGATGTAGATGTACAACATCTGTGCGAATCCAGGTGGGGGGGTGGTGGCGGTATTTGACCATACTTCACCACTCTGGTCAGTGCACGTTGGCGAAGGCGGGATGCATAGATGTTGAACTTCTTTTCGCACTTTACGTGGCCAACCGTGGCAATCGGAGGCGCTCGACAAAGCGAGTTTCACCACCCAGTGTCGTCTCTCGCCATCTCCGCCGTGTCCTCTCTGTCCTCATTGACACCGAGTCTATCATTTAAAGAGTTTGAGTGTGAATGTCATTTTGACATCGTAAATGCTGTAACTATTATTGTTGTTAAGGTTTTAGGTTGTAATAAAATCTGTAATTGTGGAGTGCTTTGGTGATGTCTGCTGGCTGAGTCACCCCTTGAGAACGAGCTTAGAGCTCTACGGGTTCATTCAGGAAATGCATTCATGATTCTATGGGATCGGGTTCCATATCTCTTAACATTGCCCATAGAGTCACGTTGAAGGGAAACAATAAAATAATAAAATATAGTGTTTCCCTTCAACGTGACTTTACCGAAAGAACTAAGAATATGAATTAATGCAGTCACGAAAGCTTTAAATCAAAATTGCCCATAGACTTTCTATGGGAACCGGATCCCTATCTCTTAACATTGCCCCATAGACGTTCTATGGGAACTGGTTCCCTATCTCTTAACATTGGCCATAGACTTTCTATGGGAACAGGTTCCCTATCTCTTAACATTGCCCCATAGACTTTCTATAGGAACCGGATCCCTATCTCTTAACATTGCCCCATAGACATTCTATGGGAACCGGTTCCCTATCTCTTAACATTGCCCATAGACTTTCTATGGGAACAGGTTCCCTATCTCTTAACATTGCCCCATAGACTTTCTATGGGAACCGGTTCCCTAACTCTTAATATTTGTCCCATAGAATTTCTATGGGAACCGGTTCCCTATCGCTTAACATTTCCCCATAGACTTTCTATGGGAACCGGTTCCCTATCTCTTAACATTGCCCATAGACGTTCTATGGGAACCGGTTCCCTATCTCTTAACATTGCCCCATAGACTTTCTATGGGAATCGGTTCCCTGTCGCTTAACATTGCCCCAGAGACTTTCTATGGGAACCGGTTCTCTTTATATTAACATTGCCACAGACTTTCTATATTTGGAGTTTGCGTGTCTCTCTCTCCCCGTGTTAGTGTGGACTTTTCTCCGGATCCTCCGTTTTTCCCTCCACATTTAAAATCAACATCACGCTATAAATGTCCACGCGATGAAAATCCACCACTTTTGATGTAAAGCTTTCGTGACTGCAGGGATTCATATTCTTGGCTCTTTCGGTAAAGTCACCACCACGTAGAAGGGAAACAATAAAATAAAAAAAATATAAAACAATAAAATTCTCACGACGTTTCGACTGCAACACAACCAATCATCATCAGGTGTGTAGCAGTCGAAAAGTTATGAGAATGTTATTGTTTTATATTTTTTATAATTTTACCGAAAGAACCAATAATATATATTCTTGGTTCTTTAGGTAAATCACGTAGAAGGGAAACAATAAAATAATAAAAAATATAAAACAATAAAATTCTCACGACGTTTCGACTGCAACACAAGCAATCATCATCAGGTGTGAAAACCACAGCAAGGAAATTTGAAAAAAGTTGCCACTTTTTTCACCGCTGTCGGCAGGAAGTGCGTCTGGTGATGTCGTGTGTGTTACGCCATTGCCGTGTTCGCCACTTCTTTCAAATGTTCTTGCTGTGGGTTTCACACCTTGATGATGATTGCTTCTTGTGTTGCAGTCGAAACGTCGTGAGAATTTTATTGTTTCACATTTTTATTATTTTATTGTTTCCCTTCTACGTGGTGGTGACTTTACCGAAAGAACCAAGAATATAAAGCCACCACTTTGTTCAGCTGTAATTTGTGATTGCCAGGTAGCTTCTGAACTAACAGCTACCACATAGCTCAGTGGGGCCCTTACCTGGTATAATCCCAAAACATAGCTAAGCTTTCGTTTCTAAAGTTTAGTCTAGATTGCAAATGAGGTGCTCGTGCTAACTAAAGTGACGTCACAGGAAACGCCACGTGGCACCGCTGTCGGCAGGAAGTGCGTGGGGTGGTGTCGTGTGTGTTACGTCATTGCCGCGTGCGTCACCTCTTGTGACATCACTTATTGTGACGTCATTTGCAGTGACGTCACGTGCTGTGATTTCGCTTTTCCCCCGGGAACATTTCCAAAATACCGCAACCGCAACAGATGAAATTCGATCCGTCCCAATTTATGAATGTTACGATTTGCCGGAACGTCGGAGACCCCTTTGCTCTTACCGACAAAGGTCTGCCTCCTCCACAGCCTTTAAAAAAAAAACTGTTGGGGGCAGTTGCTGCTACAGCGGATTCCTCAGGTATCAATAAATATTGGTGATTCTGAGATGCCCTGTAAGCACGCCCAACGAAGGGCCGACGTTGAGGCGTGTGCTTGGAACCGTTGGGTCAAAGGTGGCCTCAGGTTCTACGTCTACGTGCTGTTCATATGCACACACACACACACGTATTAAGGTACATCTTGGGGAGGCTTTCATCCAGCAGTGGATTAACCATGGCTCACGATGATGATGACAAAGCTACAGCGGCCAGCTGTATATTACACACACACACGTACAATGGGAATTCCGTGTAGCCTGTAACAGACTGTTGAGGCAAGTGCTGTTAGCGAGTAGCAGCACCTGTGAAGGCTACCGGCACTGTGGCATACGAGGGGGTGGTTGGACAGCTCCACGCCCGGCCGCCTTTGTCTTCCCGGCGCTAATATGCGTGCGTGCATCAACACCTTTGCACACACGTCTATGCACACACACACCTATGCAAACACACACATTTATGCACACATACAGCTGGCCCGTGCATATAACGGTGACGTCAACGCAGCGCTTGTGCCAGGCTAGGTGCACTTTGAGGACCTCGTGAAGTTTCACACAAATACACAGATCCCCCGTATAGCCTACGCAGGTTGTTGGGGGCAAGTGCAATTGACACGAACACAGACACCGATGCACGCGCACACACGCGATTAAAGACAAAGATCTCCCGCATAGCCCTCACAGACTCTTAGGGGCAAGTGCATTTGAGACACAAAGACAAAGATCCCCCGCATAGCCTAGCACAGGCTGTAGGGGGCAAGTGCATTTGACTATAAACCCTAGGGGTCTATATGCAATTAAAGACGAAGATCCCCCGTATAGCCTAGCACACAGTCTGTTGGGGGGCAAGTGCATTTGAGACGCAAAGACAAAGATCCCCCGTATAGCCTCGTAAAGGCTGTGTTTGGGTCACGTGCAACTGAGAGAGAGAGAGAGAGAGACACACGCACACAGATGGATTCAGGAATTCCTTCTCACCTGCGGTGGCGGTCGCCTCGGGCATGGTGGCTGCAGGCGCTTCCGACACGGCTGGCGGTCAGCTTCCAACTGCGCCTCGACACTCGACTGCCGCTCCTCCCTCGAGACACAAATACACGGGAGAGGTGGTGGCCGTTGTTGGAGGGTGGTGCAGGGTTGGTGGTGGTGGTGGTGGGTGGGTGGGGTGGGAGAGCAGAGAAAATCCGATTAGCAGATTCCAACAATCTTGTCTTTCGCTGCCGAGGAGACTTCTCCCGATATATTAACTCAGGAAACCCGATCCCAGCACCCCGCCACGATGCGTCCAAACCCAGCACGGGTCACCGGGGTGTCAAGCCGAGGAGCCGCGCGTCTGTGTGGTGTGTGTGTGTGGTGTGTGTGTGGTGTGTGTGTGTGTGGTGTGTGTGTGGTGTGTGTGTGTGTGGTGTGTGGGTGTGTGTGTGGTGTGTGTGTGGTGTGTGTGTGTGTGGTGTGTGGTGTGTGTGTGGTGTGTGTGGTGTGTGTGTGTGGTGTGTGTGTGTGGTGTGTGTGGTGTGTGTGTGGTGTGTGTGTGTGGTGTGCGTGTGTGGTGTGTGTGTGTGTCGTGTGTGTGTGGTGTGTGTGTGTGGTGTGTGTGTGATGTGTGTATAGTGTGTGGTGTGTGCGTGGTGTGTGTGTGTGTGGGGTGTGTGTGTGGTGTGTGTGGTGTGTGTGTGTGGTGTGTGTGTGGTGTGTGTGTGTGGTGTGTGTGTGGTGTGTGTGTGGTGTGTGTGTGTGGTGTGTGTGTGTGTGGTGTGTGTGTGTGGTGTGTGTGTGGTGTGTGTGTGTGTGGTGTGTGTGGTGTGTGTGTGGTGTGTGTGGTGTGTGTGTGGTGTGTGTGTGGTGTGTGTGTGGTGTGTGTGTGTGTGGTGTGTGTGTGGTGTGTGTGTGGTGTGTGTGTGGTGTATGTGTGTGTGGTGTGTGTGGTGTGTGTGTGTGTGGTGTGTGTGGTGTGTGTGTGTGTGGTGTGTGTGTGGTGTGTGTGTGGTGTGTGTGTGTGTGGTGTGTGTGGTGTGTGTGTGGTGTGTGTGTGGTGTGTGTGTGTGGTGTGTGTGTGGTGTGTGTGGTGTGTGTGTCTTTGGTGTGTGTGTGTGGTGTGTATGTGTGTGGTGTGTGTGGTGTGTGAGGTGTGTGGTGTGTGTGTGTGGCAACGCGTAGGTCGACTCGGTCTCAAATGAGTTCCCGTGCAGTGTTTAAAAACATCGCTACTACGGGAGACAAAGGCGGCCGGGAGTGGTGTTGGCCACCCACCCGCTCGTTCATAGGTGCTCGCGAACAGCCCTTGCCCCAACAGTCTCTTATCAATTGAATGTGCGAGTCGATTGCACTTGCCCCAACAGTCTGTTCCAAGCTACACGGGGGATCTTTGTCTTTGGACCGGTGGTGTTGCGATAAGCGCGCTGTGCTACTGAACTCGGCGGCCCGAGTTCGATTCCCGTTCCAAACGGCCAACACCGGTGACGACTATATGAGCCGGTCACGGGCCTCCCCTAGGTCGACTCAGCCTCAAATTAGTACCTGGTGCGGTGAGTTAAACTATCGCCACTGGAGAGACAAAGACGACCAGGCATGGTGCTGGCACCCACCTCCCTCGTAGTGTGCAGTGCCGATCTTCGCAAGTGATGCTACTCGCTAACAGCACTTGCCCCAACAGTTCGGTTAAGGCTACACGGGGGATCTTTGTCTATTGTGTCTGTACGTGCGGTCTGGCTGAGCAAAGGGAACGGAGGGGAGGGAGGGGGTTCGTAATGGCCGTGTCAGATACAGAGAAGTGACATTGATGAAATGCTGAGCTTGGAGCGCTGGCTCTGGGTGTCTCTCTCTAAGGAGGTTCATAGCGGCCATGTAAGAGACACTGAGGCAGTACTGGGTGAGATCGTGGGCTCAAGCCCTGGGTCTGGGTGTCTGTGTGTCTCTTGTTCTCAAGGGGTTCGTAATGGCCGTGTCAGATACAGAGAACTGACATTGATGAAATGCTGGGTTCGTGCGCTGGCTCTGGGTGTCTCTCTCTAAGGAGGTTCATAGCGGCCATGTAAGAGACACTGAGGCAGTACTGGGTGAGATCGTGGGCTCAAGCCCTGGGTCTGGGTGTCTGTGTGTCTCTCGTTCTCAGGGGGTTCGTAATGGCCGTGTCAGAAATAGAGAACTGACATTGATGAAATGCTGGGTTCGTGCGCTGGCTCTGGGTGTCTCTGTCTCTCTCACGGGGTTCGTAATGGCCGTGTTAGAGACACTGAATGAGCACTTTGGAGGTCATAGGTCAAACATGGACGAGTTTTAAGAGGTCACATCGGACGATGTAGATGTACAACCTCTGTGCGAATCCACTGCTGGATGAGCGGCTGCGGATCATAGTGGTGGTGGCGGTGGAAAGGCGGCGGGGGGTGGCGGTACTTGACCATACTTCACCGCTCTGGTCAGCGCACGTTAGCGCAGGTGGTAAGCGTCGAGGTGGGAGCGTAGTGCAGCGCCATTACCCGATTGGGGTCGCCTTAAACCCACTCTCACGTCGCCGTGACAGCATCGTCGTCCGTCCTGTCTCGTTATCCGTCGCCTCTCAGTCTTCGCCTCCACCACCACCCACTACCACCACCACCACCCACTACCACCACCACCAACTACCACCACCACCCACTACCACCACCACCACCACCACACACTACCACCACCACCAACTATCACCACCACCCACTACCACCACCACCTACCACCACCCACTACCACCACCACCCACTACCACCACCCACTACCACCACCACCCACTACTACCACCACCACCACCACCACCCATTACCACCACCAACACCCACTACCACCACCACCAACTACCACCACCACTCACTACCACCACCAACTACCACCACCACCCACTACCAACCACTACCACCCACCACCACCACCTATTACCACTACCCTGTACACCGCTCTTCGATTGGCGTCGTTTCAACATTCGTCACGGCACCTTTCAGGAACGCATCCCCGACGTAAAACGGGGTGTGACTACACGCCAACAGCTCTCGCCCCAACAGCCTCATTGAGCACTCGGGTTTACGTATATATGTGTTGAACTTCTTTCGCACCGTACGTAGCCAACCGTACTAATCTGTGGGTCTGGGTCTCTGCGGGTCTCTGTATGTGTATGTGTGTTGAACTTCTTTCGCACCGTACGTAGCCAACCGTACTAATCTGTGGGTCTACATGAGTCTGGGTCTCTGCGGGTCTCTGTATGTGTGTGTGTTGAGCTTCTTTCGCACCGTTTATAGCCAACCGGAGGTGCGGCGGGTGAAAGCTAAGAAGGAAACCTAAAGACAAAAAAGCAGTTCATGAAGACGATGCCTTTCCCTGCACTGCTATCGTGTAGCCATACAAGCAGCCTGCTACACCCTAATTGTTGTGCAAAGCTTTGGGCGTCCATCCAGGCAACTGTCCAGGCTCGCAGCCTGCTTAAGCTTTCGAGATCTGACGAGACGCAGGGCATGCCGCTGGGGGTTGGTGGACGCGAGGGATCAAAATCTCACCTCACACACAAACGGAATGCCCGAAACGAGTCGAGGGCTACGTCAGTGTGACATTAGCATGGCCATTGTGAACCCACCCTGAGAGAGACACGCAGACCCAGGGCTTGAACCCAGAGAGAGACAGACTACTGCTCTGCGATGCGAACTCCCGTCTCGCAAGCTTAAGGCTCAAATCCGAGCTGGGTTAATTATTACCAACACCAGCCAAGGTCTATCCACTGGTGAAGATCAACATGATGAAGATGTCATTGACACGCGCGCGTGCGTTTCTTTAATCCACACGTTGCTCCCTCTCCATTTTTCTCCCTTGGCCACAAGTACGTCATCGATTCTAGATCATCAGACGTTCTCTTTCGCCCTTGGCGACCAGTACGTCATCGATCCTCGATAATCAGACGTCCTCTCTATTATTGGCTACTGGTACGTCATCGATTCTCGAAAATCAGACGTCCTCTTTATGCTTGACTACCGGTACGTCATCTTTTCTCGATCATCATATGTCTCCTTTATCCTTGACTACAAGTACGTAATCGATTATCGATTATCAGACCTCCTCTATTTCCTTGGCTACCAGAACGTCTTGATTTGAAGCTTTCGTGACTGCAGGAATCCATACTATTTGGTTCTTTCGGTAAAGTCCACGTAGGTATAATATTTCATTTTATACCTACGTGACTTTACCGAAAGGAACCAAAGAGTACCCGAACGTCATCTATACTCGATCATCAGACGTCCTCTCTATCCTTGGCTAGCAGTACGTCATCTATTTTCGAATCCCAGACGTCAGCGCGTCTGGCTGATCGGTGCTCTCAGGAAAGAAAAAAAAACCCAACCCCAATTATAGTTGCGGCGTTCTGAACGGTGCCCGACGCAAATACGGATTGGTGCAAAATACCCCGGGCAGCACGTGAACGTTCATCTGAGAATTTAACTCACCACCACGTCGCAACGCACGGCATCAAACACCCTCGCGTGTGCAATGGCACCGATACGCCCGGACGTTCAGGCGCTGGCCAGAGGGTTTCAGCAGAGAGGCAGAGACTTCGTGTCGTGTCGCTGTTCCTCCTCGTCCGTAAAAGGAGCGCAGTGCAGCTCTGTGCGTCTCTATGTATCTCTGTGCGTCTCTATGTATCTCTGTGTGTCTCTATGTTTCACTGTGCGTCTCTATGTATCACTGTGCGTCTCTATGCATCTCTATGGGTCTCTATGTATCTCTGTACGTCTCTATGTATCTCTGTGTGTCTCTATGTTTCACTGTGCGTCTCTATGTATCACTGTGCGTCTCTATGCATCTCTATGGGTCTCTATGTATCTCTGTACGTCTCTATGTATCTCTGTGGGTCTCTATGTAACCCTGTGTGTCTCTATGTATCTCTGTGGGTCTCTATGTATCTCTGTGTGTCTCTATGTTTCACTGTGGGTCTCTATGTATCTCTGTGGGTCTCTATGTATCTCTGTGGGTCTCTATGTATCTCTGTGGGTCTCTATGTATCTCTGTGTGTCTCTATGTTTCACTGTGGGTCTCTATGTATCTCTGTGGGTCTCTATGTATCTCTGTGGGTCTCTATGTATCTCT